ACTGGCTGTGTGACTCTAGATGAGTCACTTAACCTCTCATTGCCTTAGGCAACTTGCTAAGCCAAAGATGCAGACAAGTTGCCAACGTGCATGAGAAGAGATTTTCCTCATCTAAAGAGTTCCCTATGCCAAAAAATCCTATGTCCAGTCCCTATTTCTGATCATAAATGAAAAACGATATCAGTACTGAAGAATAAGTTGTAGATATGTAGATATATGTAAACATGTATGTATGTATATATACACATACAGTACACATGTATACACACATATTATATATCTCGTGTGTGTGTATATGTGTGTGTGTGTGTATGTATATATGTAAAATATTGTTTGCAACTACATTTTACAGACTGTGGTATAGAAAGGATTAGCCCTTAATAACTAGCCAAGTGTTGTTGAGCCTTGTGATGAAAAAAACAGGTAGCAATTTTTGAAGCAATAAGCATAGTTGCTTTCAGAAGACAGAATCTGACTGCTGGTAAATACAACTAGGGCTTCAAAGAGAGGCAAGAATCATCAAAAATAGAAATTATCATTATAAAATAAGGAAAAGAAAATAAACAGAAAAATATGTGATTTAGCTATCATTTACTATGTCAGATAGACAAATTCTTTTCCCATTACTCTCAGGGATAAATTTATGGATTTAAAGAGGAAACCATGGCAGAGCCAATAAATCTTTAACTACTGCAATGTTTTCTCATATCTATGACACCTTATTATACATAAATGTATGCTTTTGCTTTTTAGAAATTTGCAATTGAGACAGCTAGGTGGCACTGTGGATAGAGCACCAGCCCTGGAGTCAGGAGGACCTAAATTCAAATCCCACCTCAGACACTTGACACTTACTAGCTGTGTGACCCTGGGCAAGTCACTTAACCCCACTGCCTAGCCAAAAAAAGGAAAAAAGAAAAAAAAATAGAAATTTGCAATTACAACTGCTATCCTCTTTTAAGGAATATAAATGAATTAATACTACTTGACATTATAGCTTTGTATAAATATGCATATACACATTTGACTTTTGATTTAAAAAACCAAAAGTGTACATAAAGACAATTACACAGAGCTATAATAACGAGTAAGGCCATGCTAGAATCTTTGTTTATCAGAAGTTCATTCCTCCACCACTATGGAATATGAGTTAGCATTTTACTTGTAGAACCCAAAGGGGGAAAAAACCCAAACACCTCTATGAGAGAATGTGAGAGAGTCCCCTAAGATTATTAAACTGGCACTCAACAGATAATTGCCATGTATCTCATAAATGCTAACGGTCCCTTGCTTTTTACTTTCACTCCTAAAATCTCCTGAAGGCTGTCTCTCAATTTCCCAATAACACTATAGATAAAATATCAATTAGGATCCAGACAGTGTCACAATACCCAACATTGCTAGCCGCAGCTAACCTAGAGAAAAGGAGGGAACACAACCCTTTCATCTTCTCAATTTTCCCTTAGTCAATTCCTATGCTCTAAGATCTCTAAGCACAGGTTAGGAAGCCAAGGTTGCAGACAGACACAGGCAGACAGGCATCACTATTCTGGAACTCGAGGAAAAGAGGCAACATTTTTATTCCACAACAGAGATAAGGCCTTTCTTTCATAAAAAGTAAGGGCTGGAGGCCAATCTTTATTGCTATCACACCACTGCCCCAACCTGGACACAGACTGGAAGGTCTGTGGCATTCCACTTACATCTCAAGCCAACTGAAAGAACTCCCTTTAACAAATCTCCTTTGGACACTTAAGTTTTGTGATGGATATCCTTTTCCCTTCCCTGAACAGAAAAAGGGAACCTTGGAATTAAAGTTACCGCAAAACAATTAAGAGAGAGGCATTCGCCACCAAATGAAGGAGATGAAATGGGTAGGGTCTCCTTATTTTTAAATTCCTCAAATTCATGAAGTCTCCATTCCAAATCCATAGTGAAGAACAAAATTTTTCAGTTGTCTGAGACAGCACCTCTGTTTTCTTCTTCGTTTAATAAACCAAGTCAATGGTGTCATCAGAAATCACAAATAACTTATGTAAAGTAAGTAGCATAAGGAATAAAATTTACTTTATAAGTAACTTCACATAAAAGACTCAATCAAATATGGACACATACAGAGAGAATGCTGAGTCTAATTTCAAAAAAGATTTTTAAAAAAAGGTAATAAAACAATAAAAGTGACTCAGTGAACCTGGAGTTTTGGAAGTCTTCTATAGAGAATATTAACAATAATTACCATAGGAGAAGGTGCAAAGTACTAGCATTGTCTAATAATTCATTAAGTGATAATGTCATCAGTCAGGAGTAAATGACCTGTAAAGGAGATAAACTTTTATAATGGGAACTTCATTGATGAATATTTAATCTATCTGTCACTATTTCTGGTGATGGCACTACTTTTTTGCTCTGAGGCTCTGCCCCTTAGGGTAAGGGAACTGCAGAAGACAGACACTTCCTCAGGAAATTTATTTTCTATTACTTCATATTTACTGACTCTGTAAATGTTGCCATTTCCCAGCTGAAAGTTACCTTTTGAGGCGTAAAGACTGTTTCATTTTTGTCTTTTTTTCCCTAATGGCTTGCACATAATAATGAATATTTGTTGGGTTAACACGGGTAGGTAGCACTGCAGAAGGATATTTTCCACCCCCTCCTCCTTTCTGGAAGAGACCAAGTTGACCCTTACCTAGGCCTCAACTATTTCCACCTTGTTCCTTTTTCCTTTCTCACACTGGAGGATGGATATTTAATTAGCCAGACCCTGTTACAATAGCTATGGGCAATATGATGGCTCTCAGGACCACTGGGCCCCTTTCTGTGCTATTTTATAGCATTTATGCTGGATGGAAAGTTATTAGTACAATTACACTAGCTCTGAGCCTCGAGCTAGGAAAATTCCTAACATTCAGACAAAGGTTTTTCTCTGTAAAGTTTTGTATACTTCTAGTTAACCCCTTTCCTCTTTACAGTTAAAGCAAAAATCAGGATACAGAAAATATTTAGGCAAAACAAGCAGTCAGAGTATGTTATAGTATCTGTACAGGACAGTTATGGGGTAGAGAAACAGAAAAAAAAGCAGACTTTTTTGCTCCAGACCCTCTCTCACTCCTTGAAGAATTGAACCTGTGAGCCCTGTATTTGAGATGCTTGCCGGACCTGATGTCCCGTCCCCCCCCCACTCCAGATCACTCCCTTCACTGACACAATTCAGCCCTCCTTTCATTCCTATGTTCAGTTATTGTCTTGGTGCCACTACTTCTTTCCATCTCCTCTCCTAAGTCCCAGTAGGCTCTGGGGGTGTCATCTTCCCATGGCACCTGCTTGATGCCTGAGGTCCTCACTCCTTCCTCTCAGGTTTTCCCTTAAAGACTGTGTTCATCCCTTTAAGAACTCTCAGATAGGACTTCAGAGTACCTTGTGGCTCAAAGATTTGAATGGTCCCAAGCAATGCACAGAACTGAGAGAGAACGCTTGTCCCACGGCAATATAAATCCCAGGATGCCAGTCCATTCTCAAACCCCTATTAGTTTCGAAAACCAAGGACTCTAATACTCTTTGAAAAAACTGGTGCTACAATGAGGACAAATATGATAGAAACATGAGGATTTATCCCTCTCAGGACACAACTACCTTGGGAACCTGAAGCTGGGCATACATATGCATGATGAATACAAGAAACAAAAAGGAAAGTCATAGAAACATGGATTTAGAGTTAAGAGTGACCTTAGAAGTGCTCATTTTATAGAGCTATCAATCAGTCAACAAGTATTTATGAATCATCTTGGCATGGACACTGTGCAAGGCATTGTGATCACAAGTACAAAGAACAACACAATTTCTAAGGCTATGGTGTTGACACTCTAATGATAATGAACCTGAAGTCCACAGAGATTAAATGACTTGCCCAAGGTCAGTTAGGTGGTGAACTGCAAAGCCAACATTTGAATCCAGAATCCCACCCCACCCCCAGAATGCTGACTCATATTTAGCATATGTATGTTAAAAATAAAGTTTCCAATAAAACTGGAAGAAAAATTAAACACAATGTGGTTACTGTGCCATTATCCCTAGAGATAAGCTGCCTAGATGATAAGTCTTACTCTTAACCGCTTTGTAAATAGCAGACACTAGACTTAACATCTTTGTTTCCATTACCAACTCCAGTTGCTCTTACTTCTCAGAACTGTCTGAGCCTGCCAGGACTGTATAAGAAAAGAAGAAAGGAAGTTGGCCTCTCTCTGATACTCAGGTTCAGTTACCAAGAAAGGCCACAAAAATAAAACCTCTTTGATTGCTAGGAAAGGTATGAACCAAAGACTCATCCATATGGAAGGAGAAGTGAAGGAGGGGTCAATACTAAGCCAAGTTTCTGTTTAAGTCTGAAAAATAATGCTATCGATTCTGGTACAAGCCAGGGAGAAAAATTAAATAGTTTTCTAGTTCTTACCAGAGCTGATATTCACTGTATTACTTAGTAATTACTCATTTTTTGAGCACTCACTCTAAGATACATTATTCTTCAGATACAACAAATATGCATTCTAAAGTAAAATGTAAATTATTTTTTGCCTATCTGGATGATTGAGTCTAATGTTCCCCTCCACTGGAATAATCAAGAAGTGATTCTAATTCTTTCTTACATTATTTCTTGAGAATAAACTTCAATGGAATATTGGAATTTTTCTTTAAATGTGATTGTTCTTAGCTATATGATGAAACATTATGTCTTGAAGTAATATCCCAAAATATTTTCCTGGATGTAATCAGCAGAATTTGTGGAGAGGCAATAATAAGAATTCAAACAAAATGGAACCATTATAGAGTATGGACTCTATAAGTAGACAAGATAAGGTCAAGTGCTCCAACAAATACCAGGAAAATATGGTAGACAGGTTCTAAGATAAGAAAGAGATATTATAAAGACAGTCGTGTGGCACTGACCACCACATGTGCAGGGATATTTGCAAAACTAATCAGTCCATGACAAAGTCACATCTTACCGTTATAAAGTTGCACTGATACAGGTACCGGCCTCCCAACACATGAGCTTGTGGGTTGGACTGGAGGCCAACATAACTCCACAATATCTGGATCTCCAAGGAAAATGGTATGCAACAACAAGAGGTACAATTTTTAGCCTGTAGTGAGAAAGTCAACATTATTATCAAATGACATTACTAAGAATTCTAACACATGTGGCATCGTGCCCCAAATCACAGCCTTTCTACTGTCTATCAACATTAGTAGCTGTTGGTACTCTAAATATGAATCCTTATCCAGTGACCAATAAATGGACAAACTAACATTCTCCTATCAATGAAACCAGAAAACAAAAGGAGACAACATTTTTATCTCACAAGAGAGATGAGGCTTTTCATATATAAAGTGAGGGCTAGGTGAAGAAAATGCCCAGAGCTGAAATACGGAGGGTCTTGTCTGAGGAGCAACAAGAAGGCCACTGCTGCTGGATCTCAGAGCACACGGAGGGAACTGAGGTGTAAACATCCTGGAAAGCTAGGAAGGGGCCAGGTTATAAAGGGTTTTAAGAGCCCAGCAGAGGATTTTACATTTGGTCCTGGAGGTAGTGAGAAGTCACTAAGGTTTAGTGAACAGCGAGAGTGACCAAGTCAGACCTTTGCTTAAAGAAGAACGACTTGACAGCTAGGTGGAGGATGGAACAGGGGAGGGACCAGTAGTAGGATCTAAGCAAAGGAGACCAACCATCAGACTGCCACAGTAGTCTAAGTGTGAAGTGATGAGGGCCTGCACCGGGGCAATGGCAGTCTCAGAGTAAAGAAGGTATGTTTGAGGGATGTCACAAAGGTAGAAATGACAGGAATTGGAAACTGATGGAAGTAAGAGCAAGGAGTCAAGGACGACGCCTAGACTGCAGACTCGGGTGACTGGGAGGACAGTGATACCCCTGACAGTAACAGAAAAGACGGAAGACGGGAGGAGGGTTTGGGGGCAAAGATAATGAGATCAGGTTTGGATATGTTGAGTTTAAGATGTTTACAGGACAAGAAGGAGGTTAAAAGAAACCCGTACACACAGGAGGAATGTGACAAGACGCTTCAGATTAAATTAACACAGATTTTAATCTTCAACAACTTCAATGGAAAGGCGGACATAGAGGAGGAAAGGAACAAGTGTCAGAAAACACGGTTTTAGAGTGAGAAAAGAGAGGGGCCAATGAAATGCAGACTACACAGAAACCTAAAAAATGAGAATAAAGATGAGAGGGTGGCTGTGCAAACTGTTCACAGCAAAAAACTTGAAAATGCAGTAGTACTGGAGAATGACTGAGAAATGAAGTTACACAGGAACACAGGGTACAGGAACATAATATTACGGCACTATAATTAAAATGAATGTGAGCGATTCAGATAAACATGAGCAGATTTATGAGCTGATCAAAGACTTGCAAGAACTGACTGAAGCAAGAAGAGCCAGGGGAACAATATACACAATGGCTACAACAATGTAAAGAAAAACAGTACTAAAAGATGGCTGAGTTCAGATCAGATACAAAGACTAATCTTGGTTCCTGAGAATAAATGATGAAACACACTTCACTCCTGTAAGAGAGAGGGAAGTGATGAGTATGGAGAAGCATGGAAAGAGTCAGACAAACTGATGCAGAACAATAAGCAGAGCGAAGATGACAATAGACACAACTACTACACCAATGTGCATGGAAAGAAAGGCCACTTAACAACAGAAAGTAAATGACACAGAACGACAAAAAATAAGAGTGGTCCCAGAGAGATATGAGAAGACACATCTTCCCACATCTCTGCAGAGGTAGGAGGTCAGGGGCGGGGGAGCAGGTAAGGGGGAAATACTGCACATGTTTTCAGACTCAGTTGATGTATTGTTCAATTTTGCTGCTGTTTTTCTCTTTTTTCTTAAAAACATTCTCGGGGGGGGCAGCTAGGTGGCGCAGTGGATAGAGCTCCGGCCCTGAAGTCAGGAAGACCTGAGTTCAAATCCGGCCTCAGACCAAAACACTTAACACTAGCTGTGTGACCCTGGGCAAGTCACTTAACCCCAACTGCCTTTAAAAAAACAACAACATTCTCTGGGGGCAGCAAAGTGGCACAGTAGACAGGGCTCTGGCCTTGGAGTTAGGGGACCTGAGTTCAAATCTGATCTCAGACACTTGACACTAGCTGTGTGACCCTAGGCAAGTCACTTAACCCCGACTGCCTCACCAAAAAGCAAAAAACAAAAAACAAACAAAAAAAATGTTCTCTGCCATATGGAATGGTGCTCTGGGAGGGGGAAGAGCAAGGAGGGAAATTCAAACAACATAAAAAGATATTAATCAAAATTTATTAAAGAAAGAGTATGGACCCCTTCTCAGAATAATGGTTTTGAAAACATAAAATATATAAGATGAAAAAGAAAACCAATTTTGCTGAAAAACAACTATTAAAATATGTTTTAAAAAATTAATGTACTGCAAGCTAAAAACCTCTGTATCTAGTCCTATAGCTGACGATACAACAAATGGCATTTGGAACTTGGGATTTATTTTTATTTTTCAATCTAAGTTCAGATGTTGGTGTGGCATGTTTTCATATAAGAAATTATTACGTAGAATATCTGTATCATCCAGTTTGTCTACTTTATTTGGTTTTTACAATAATAAAAATTATCTCAATTTAAAAAGAGCGGTTGCAGGAAGTCGCACACACTGACACGGCTCTCATGTTTGGTGCTTGTTCTTAGACATTTCTCTATGTTAAAAGGCATGGAATTTATTGGAAAGTGTCTGCAGCATTCAAAAATTAAAATTTACCACCTTAAATTTTCACCACCTATGGTGTAACCAGAGACCTATCTGGCAGTAGCAGGAGGGAGATGCTCTCAGTGCCAACGAAATCTCTTTGCTCTGCACACCAAGCACAAATATTCCCTGGGCCACGGAGCAGTTTTGCCTAGGGAGCAAAACCACATTTGGACCAGTTGGTTCCATGGCAACTATATTAGGAATTAAATAGGCTTTTACAATCTACTTAATCTCCAGCCCTAACACTGTTTTGCCCTAGGGGACTCACTGTCCATTAAATGCTTTCATCACATCACTACTCAGATTAAAAACCTATGCCTCTTGCCTGCATTTCCCCTTCAAGTCTCAATGTTTGCCTGGCTCTCAAGGTCCTCCAGAACCTGGCTTTGCCCCATTCCTACCTTACTTCTCACTTGTCCCTAAGGCCTGCCCTCTAATCCTATTCAAGTTGGGTCATACTGTCTGACCCCTACATCTTGCTCCTTCTTGCCTTATGTTATTATTCCTTCTGCCTGGAATGTACTTCCTAGATTCTCATAACCACTAATCGGGTTCCATTCATCCCATACCTCTGAATCCCCTCTCTTTACTTGCTTAGTTTACACTTTAACTTGTTATTTTGCTATTTCCACTCCCCCAAATGGAAGGAAAAAAAGGCTAACCACAAATTAAGGATCCAACAGCACATCTGGAATATGTGGGTCTGTGTGTATGGTTGGCTTGGGAACATCAGACCACCAGTTTCAACGCTTTTAACCTGATAACTTATTTTAAATACTTTCATTTAAAAAGCAATACCCCATCCTCTTTACCACTGAATCTTTGAAATCCTATCTAGTCCAATGTACTCATTATACTGAGGCCTCAGAAAGGTTGAATGTGCCCAATGTCACAGAGCAAGCAAGCCAGTGGCAGAGCCTGACTTAGAACCCTTAACTCCCAAGTTAGGCGGTGCAATGGATAGAGCACCAGCCCTGGAGTCAGAAGGACCTGAGTCCAAATCTGTCCTCAGATACTTATTAGCTGTGTGACCCTGGGCAAGTCACAACCCCAATTGCCTTAAAAAAAAAAAAGGAAAGAAAGAAAGAAAAAAAGAAGACAACCTAAGTTCAAATCTGGCCTCAGACATGTACTAGTTGTGTGGCCTCAGGCAAGTCACTTAACCTCTGTATGCCCCAATTTTCTCAACTGTAAAATGAGGATAATAATAATAATAGCACCTCCCTACCAGGGCTGTTAAGAGGATCAAATGAGGTATTTGTAAAAGTGCTTAATACAGAACCTGGCACATAGTACGTACTTAATAAATATTTGTTCTCTCCCCAAGTCCAGACACTTACCATGATGCCTCACTAAGGTAAACTGAGTACATATTTGACCTAAAATGAAATATTGATATCAACTCCTTTTAATGGAACTAACTCTTATAGAAGGAGTCCTTTCCTATCTAGAGACTTTATCTAGGTAAAAAGGACTGATTTTGATGGTACTCTCTCTACATATCTTATGTTTTATTGAAAAATTGAAAAAGTTAATTAGATTTCAGGTAAATAAATCAATTCCCTCATTACCAGAGCACTGCAATTCTTGGTGAAGACCTTGACCCAATGTCCTCTGTGGGAGGGCTCCGAATTACCCACGATGCCTAGGTATACTGGACTGGATGTTCCACTAAGAGTCTTATAGATCTCATCCTGCAAATGGTCACAGTTTCTGTTCTCTATCCTGTAAATGCACATAGGAAGAAAATCAGAGTAGAAACCAAAGAGGAATGGTTTAGGAAATTAATCAATAGCTGTGCACCCTGATGATGGCTGTAGACAATTCTTTCTCCTTTTCCTTTTTTGTCATTCAGCAAAAGTCGAGGATTAATGGGTAACTAACATACAGCTGTGATAATCTTAGCATCAGGAAATTCTCCAGAAGAAGCAGTCCTGCCTTGTCCAGAGGGAGCATCCCCAGAACCTAGGTCTTCTTTGTGGTTTTCAAATTCAGGATGGATACCCTTAAGAGTCCTTTTTCCCTCTTTTCCCTGAACCTTCAAGACATTTAGAACATACTAATTATTAGCTAGAGCAGAAACAGAATCATGAAAAGCAATGCTGACATGGAGTACATTACCTCAACTTGCAACCAGTCATCACGTTCACCCCAAATTCTACTTTTCGTCTATTCACAGAGCAACTTCCATCACTGTGGCTCTGTGAGATAGTCATCTATGAAGACAGGGAGTGATGGTCAAGGAAGTAACAAGAAGGAAAAATAGAAAAGAATGGAAAACGTGGTATCTGTTTCTCTAATACAGCTTATACCTTATAAACACCCGACTTTTCAAAAGACTCGATTTTGTCTTTCTTCTTCTTAATTCATTATATTAATCAGAGTATGACACTTTCAAAAAATACTTAGTTACCCACCAATATATAAATATTCTAGCAAAAAAGAACATTAAATGTACATCTTTATCCATTCTACAACATGCTTCAAAGCTTATGGTAGGCCCAATACCTCATTGGTGATATCTGACCAGGCAACAATCTGGTAAAATCAATGTTAAGTTCCTAGATAAAAGATCTGGGACATTAGGAGAAACCAAAAAATTGCCAACAGTAGTTTGTCTTTTTTCCTTCAGAATTTCATTTTTTGGGGGGGGAAGGGCTAGGCAATGGGGTTAAGTGACTTGCCCAGGGTCACACAGCTAGTAAGTGTTATGTGTCTGAGGCTAGATGTGAACTCTGCTCCTCCTGAATCCAAGGCCAGTGCTCTATCCACTATACCACCTAGCTGCCCCCCTTTCAGAATTTCTAGATAGTCTTCATAAACCAAACTTTACTCTGAGGAGGATACTGCATCACTGGTATCATCTTTTAAAACTAGGAGGGGCATTCCAAAAATATAGCCAGGATTCCCACTTCTAGCCAAAGGAAGAGCAGCTCTTCTACGCTGAAAAGCCTGTAAGAAGAAAAATAGTAAATCATGGGAAAAAAGTAATACTACTTAGGTTAGGAATACTTAAAAGACAAGTCCCTGATTTTAATGCTGAAATAAGCTTTAGTTAATATCTGTGGTAGAAGTATGCTAGATTAGAAGTCAAGGGACCTGAGTCTAATTGTATTGATCTGGCACTTTAAGATTACCAAAGAGTTTACATATGTTATTTCATTTGATGCTCACAATAACCTGGTAAGGTACTTCAACCTCTCTGGGCCAAGGGGAGGTGGCTGGACTCAGTGGCTTTTAAATTCTCTTCTAGTCCCAATTCACTATTTTATAATCCACCAATAATCCTGAGGCAAGGAAAATGAAAAACCACCTACTCACCCCAAATAACTGGGGTTTTGTCCAGCCTCATTGATCCAAAAGAATTAAGAGATAACTGAGTTACAAAAGAGTTACCATTCCGTAAAATACTGTCTGAGAAGAAACACTGACATTGGAATTTTTCTTCCCAATGTATTTCTAACAATGGTGGGAGTTCTTCCCCAGTGAGGTGGGAAGATTGTACAGGGACTAGTTAGTACTTGTACAGAAACTGGACAGGGGCAAGAGGTCCAAAGGATTCAAAAGCATAGCCAGCTAAACTCAAGAAGTACTGACTGACATGGGAGACTCAGTTAAAGCAAATAAATACTATGATGATTACCTGGAACCAAGGGAATAGTTAGGATATTTCTTTGGGTTAAGTCCAGGGCACACTGGCTGAGTTGAGAAGAGCTCTGACCTAGAGGCAAGGAGGTTGAGCCCCGACAGAAAAGTGCCCTGCTTTTCCAATAGAGTTTAGCCCAAGCCTGAGAATAGAAATAGGGTAACTAGCAAGCAAGGATTGTGAGATCTTGGAGAAAATTCCTGCAAAGCTACCTAGGAAACATATAGTTAACTTATCTCAACTGTATACCTTGAGATTACTTCACTTTATAGTTAAAAAAAAAAAGCATAGTAAGGGTACCATCAGAGAAAAGAAAGGACAAATACTCTTTAGTTAGGTCTTTAGAGAAACCTCACCTCTCTCCGAGGAGGGAAGCAGCCTAAGTTTACCCTAAGGTAAGGAGCCTTTTGTTCAGAGATCACTCTAGGGAAGATTTGTTTCATCATAAATATTATTAACTAACAACCATGTATTTCTAGTGCAAATTTTATGTTTCTTTATTCTCTGGAGAAGGCATTGAAATATTATAAATTCTCCAACTAGTTAGAAGTAAGGCTATATAAACCACTTTTTCCTTTTTCCTCCGGTTTACCTTTTCCTTAACATGCCATTGATCATTAGTAAACCTATCAAGAAGTAAAGAAAGAATAAATTCAGAAAAATCAATGAATTTTTACCAATTGCTAACAATGTTAATAAAAAAGTGCAGTGGATAAAGAGATTGAAAATTTAGATGAAAATGTGACTGGCAGATTATCTCTGGGATTTCAGTTACTTGGCATCTCTTTCTCCCTTACCCAAAGACACTGGAGAACTGGGTAGAAAGGTTACAAAGGAAGAGCTGAAATAGGTATTCAAATACACCCTCCAGTTCCCAAACCTTCTTACAAGAATATACATTGTTTCTAACATTTCTTCATCCCACCAGACCCCAATACCCCATAAGAAAAGGACCCTGACATGGAAATTTATAGTGAAGTGTTGCTGTATAGAAGCTCCAGGATCCCCAGACAGGTTCGTCAAGGTGAAAGACAGAGAGACTTTCTGGATTCCAAGAATCCCATCAGTCTCTATCTCATAGATAACCTAAAATGAAATAGAAGATAAAATTAGTCAATCAAAAATACTGGAATACTCACTGTACAGAGAGCAACATATTAGGCATTATAGGGAAGTAAAAGATTTCCTGTCCTTGACAAACTTACAGTCTAATGGGAGAGGCAATGAAAACATAAGTGCCAACTATACAGTATATCAGCATAAGTGTTGAAGAAATGTTAAAGAGAGAATGGAATAATAGGTAGGGTACAATTTATTGAAGGCAGGTATCATGAAAGAGGTGATTTGAGGGTAAGATTTTGAAAAAGAGGAAGATGCATGATTTAATAAAGAAGCAATGCATTCCGGGTAGGGGACATGCACAGATCAGAGCAACGAAATCACATGAGAAGCACAATAAGCTAAGAGCTGGAGCAAAATCTGAGCTCAGATATAAAAGATGGCTAAAGGTAAGGGAGTACATGTGACTGGTTTAGGTTAATGAATTTGCATTTGGTATAAAAGTAACTGAGAATAACTAGAGTGATCTGAGCACATTCTGACACAATCAAAATGATTTTTGCTTTTATAAGCAGATGTTTAAAACAGTTGAAAAGATGGAGGAATAGAAAGTATCTAGGCTATTAGCAATCTATGCTCAATGTGATCAGAATCTAGGCTGAGATCCTGACTATGGAGAAAGGGAGGAAAAGTGACATTTATGAAATGTGGCAGAATCATAAGAAAGACTTAACAATTAACGGGATACGTGAGATAAAGTAAGAGTTTTCAGATGTTTCAAGCCTGGGGAAAGGAGAAAATATGATGAAGTGACAATTTAGGTATAGAAGATAATCAACCTCCATCTCTTGATAATTTCAGTGATACTGGGACATACAAGTAAGGATGCTCTGTAGCTAAGAGACCCTAATGCACTCTTGAGAATGTATATCAATACTTATTAGTTCTGAAAGTAGGAAAACAGACTCCACAATTAGCTCCCATACCTGGGAAACAACATTAAGACAAGTGTTTCCATCTAGCTGAGGTGAAATGGGCTCTGAAGTAAGTGTTATGGGCACCTGAAAAAGAAACAAAAAATTACCTGTTGATGTGAACACAGACCTCATCCTGGTGAAAGATTTTTTTCATATTCATATTACATGTAGATGAGTTCTCTACCCACAAGATGTAGACTCTCCTTTTTCTCACAAAAGACTGCATTCTAAATCTGGAAGTATTCTACTGTCCCTAAAGTATCTATCCCTGATTCATGTATTGCTCATAACTTCCCTTCCAACACCATACCCTTCAGTGTTTCCATTCCCCATATCAAATCAAAGATTTCCTCTCTCCCTTCTCATCCAACAGATCCTCACCTGCATGTTCTCCAGATCTGTCACACCTTTTGGAACCTAAAATATTTGAAATGGAAGGTTATGAAGGTGCTCTTTGTATAGGAAAACCACCAGCATCCTGCAGCAACATTTCACTAACGCAGGCCTTGTGAGGAGAAAACAAAAATAGAATGGTTTTCTTCCTCACCCCAAATGCCTCCATTAACCACACTCTTTTCACCATACTCCAGCAACCTCATTTGGATAACAAAACACTTGGTTCAACTAACCTTTGTTTTGACATATGATTGGAAGTAGGGTCTGGGACAGGGGTCCTTGAGCTAGGTTCAAGGTTCATGGAGAGATTTCAGAGGGTCTATGAACTTAGATGGGAAGGAAAAATTACATATTTATTTTCATTATCCTCTAACTGAAATTTAGCATTTCCTTCAATTATTTAAAAATATTATTCTGAGGAGTTCATAACCTTCACCAGACTGACAAAGGAATCCACTAAATGAAAAAGGTTAAAAAACCCTGAGCAAGGATCTCTAGACTTCAAATCACATTGAAAATTGGGATTCAAATCCTATTCAAATTAAGCTGAAAATTCAATTTCAATAATTCTATACTTCAGTATTTTACTGTTTGTTACAAGAAAGGATATATGCTTTCATTTTAATAGGTTACTATCAGTGTTTTCATTGTATTTAATATGAATTTTGTTGCTGTTTAAAGGGTGTGTGTGTGTGTGTGTGTGTGTGTGTGTGAAATCACTGTTTACATTGTTCTTTTGGTTCTCCTTGTGGACTTTGGACACCTCAAACCAAAGATGACATATCAAAGAAGACAGCATCTATAGAAGATTAATAGGAAACTAATAAAAGGAAGACACTGTCCTCATGTTTTAAAATTTTAATAGCAAGAAAGAAGGAAAAACTAGGAAATTTTTGTGGTCGGAAACATGGGTATACAATTAAAGGTGAGAATTTTAGCTTTGGAAAGGCCCTCAGAAGTAAGATTATCTACCAACTCTCTCAGTTTATAGACAAGAAAACTGAGTCTTAGAGAGAGAGGTTAAGGCAAATTTACACAACTAGTGGATAGAAGAGTTAGAATAAAAAACTTGGGATTTTTTTGGACCCACATTTATACTTACACTTATCAGCAGGTAAGAATAGTACATACCTTGAGCTAAAAGAAGTAATACAATAATCTAGAACGGGTCACATACCTTCAAGACTGTGAAGTCATGGTAAGAGGTGACTCTGAGTAAGGGATCTGTGGTGCAGCTACTTGTTAGATTGCTAAAGAACCAGGTGCAGGTGGTACTTCCACTTTCCAGGAATCCTTATAACACAAAGAATTAAGTGGATAAATGAGAAAATTACTTTAAATTTGAGTAAGTAACCCCAAATGCCCTAATTTCACTCACTTGCAGCATTATTCTTGGTGCAAAGTTCTCTAGGTCCTACTCCTGCTGGCTGTTTGAAATAACTCAGTAATGACCACTTGGGAGAGTAAATCAGAATGGGATCTCCAGCCTGAAAGAAACCCAGGAATACTTTGTTAATAGTGACAAATGGCCTAAGCAGGATATGAGAGAATAAAAAAATAACAAAAAGAAGTGAAAACAGGGCTGACACTATAACAAAATAAGTACAAATGGAATGCTTGGCATGGTAGAGTAGAAGGAATCCCAAAAGGGGGGAAACGTTATCTTCATTACAAACTTGACTGAGGTTTATCTAGTCATCATGAAGCTTCCATACCATCCATTGCAATTTTACCATAAAGGAAAAAAAAGTCATAACCCCTTCCCATAGGCTTACCATGTAAAAAGAAGAAAAAGTCGGCATCAACTGAGGTACCGAGAGGAATGATGTACCTCCATACTCTATTACCAAGGATTGTATGTTGGTCCTATTAACCTTTTGAAGATGCTGGAAATAGTTCGACATTGCTTTAAAATAAAAATGTTTTAAAGATAAATAAATAGGTATTTAAAGAAAAGGAAAAATTTTATACCACCTAGTATGAGTTTTAATTTGTTTTAGGTCTGGAAATTGAGAGTTTCTTTGTTTTTTTGGTTATTTTTGTTTTGTTTTGTCTCAAGGCTTATAATAGCTATTTCAAGTTGTCGGAAAAGGTAATGAAAACCATTTATTTCTAAGAATATTCAGAACAATGGCAGCCAGAAATTTGTTCATTGTTCATTTGTGGCAATAAAATAAAATAAGCAACAAACAAAGGTTAGGAAGGAAAAGATGCACCCTATACAAGACCAATCTTCAATAAAATAAAAAAACTACTACCCCTAACAATATGGCTAGAAAAAATTTCTTATTGATATTAAGTTATCTTCTCTCCTAAATCTGGATATTATCTACATCTCACAGATCCATGGTTTTGTCATTGTTTTTACTTCTTACACTCTAGGACAGAATTCTAACATTTCTTCCAGAGAAGAAGATGTGTTATCTAGATTTCTGAAACTTTCCTTTTTTTGAAGCCATTATTGATTAGGAGAGAGATATAAGAAAAATGGTTCAATGGTATAGGAAGCTACTTCCCGCTTGGAAGGGTCACTCACAACTAACACTTTTCGTACTGCCATATTTTTATGCCTTCTGCAAATCTGATGAAAAAGGGAGTTATCAAGATTATATTCCTCAACGACTGCTTACGTCCTTCTTTCTCTAACTACGAGAATCAGAATAGAAGGGGAAAGATCTCAGGCAAGACTGGATCTCTGAATGTTCTGTAGATGCCAGGTGTCTGAATTATCCCCAACTGGAGAATCCCTAGGGATTTGGGCAGATCTACCGCTATACAAGAGTAGCACTCAAATGAATACAATACACAGCCTCCATTTCAAGCTGCTATTTTAGTTCTAATGCTCCTTCTGTTTGTTATTATAAATAATTATGATAGTTGAAATATATATCTACATATGTCATTTCAAGGTTTACAGTCCCTTTCATACATACCTTATTTGCACAATAATCTCATGAGGTAGATACTACAGGGATTATTCTTCATTTGGAAAAACTAACGTTCAGAGAATGAAACAACTTGTCCATGATCATACAACTCTCCACTTTTGGAAGGGGGATGTGAATCCAGGTTTTCCTGACTCAAATTCTAGTATTCCAGGCTGCTTCTCAACCCGGTGAAAGCCTTCACCTTCCTCCCCTATTTCTCTGTCTTCAAGCTTTCAAGTTCCTGCAAACTGCTCTTCCATATACCTTTTCTGAGCTCTCAAAAACTTGAAGAATACTTTGAAGAAAGATTTAACTTAAGGTAAGTTGAAGAGACCAGATAAGCCAAACCCAGAAGCAATCAAACATGTAGCAGTGTTTAATAAACCCAAGACCTCAAAAACTAGGGGAAGGGCTCCCTATTCAACAGGGACCTAAAGATAGGATGTTAGCAAAACAGTTTCTAAAACTTCACTCCTTTCTGCCAAAACCAGCTGATCCTGAACACATAAAAATATATATCTAAGTACTTCTGTACTTTTGCTCTGTTTGTTGAGAAACTTCAAAAGTTTTGTTAATTTTGTACACTGTATTTAAAACTTATGACAGTATACTTGCAAAGATAAATGCATGGTTTAGCTGCAATATTTACACGTGACAAATAAATACAACATTACATTGTTGTCTCAGATTCAGTGACACAATCACTTCATTTTTGCACAGTCTTCTTGTGGTTACATAGCTAACGGAGGATTCATTAAAATAGCTAGATGTGCCTCCAGCATTCAGTTAAAGGTCTTAAAAGTTTTAAACCATTTATCAAGACTCAGACTCATGGAAAATATATGTTGGGGCAGGGAAAGAAGGGAGAAAAGATAAAAGGTTAGCTGAGAAAAAGGACGGGTAATACAGAGAATCCAAAAAAAAAAAAAAGGGAAGCAATCCAAAAGAAGAGAATGTTTTCAACTCACGGTTGTTCACCTGGACACAAAATTGTAGCCCTCCATGTGGTGGTACCAAAGTTATTACACGAAATGGGGTATTACTTCGGAAAACAATGGAAGCATCTATACATTCCCAATTTATTACCCTGTGAAGACATAAAAGAATGAGAAACTTTAAAGTAGACAACTGCCTTGAAGTGGCTTAATCTTTATAATTTAGAAGAAAATTATATTCCAAGCATCTGCATAGAATTCTAAAATTTCAAAGCAAACACATCCAACAAGATTTTTTAAAAAGTACAAATCCTATGTTTAATCAATTAAAAAAACAACACTGGTTTAGTACCTTTTATGTTCTGATGCTGGAGATATAAAGGTAAAAAACAGAGCTGTACTTACAATTTACTATGCAGGAGGGGAAAAGAGCTGACATGTACACAAGTATGATATAAGAGGTAGAATATAATAGAGCAAGATTCAGATGAAATGCTCTAGGAAAATTTGAGGCAGGAGATATCACTGTCAGCTGGAAGGACATCACACAGATCACTAAGTAAATAAATTGTGGTGCATGAATGTAATGAAGTATAACTGTGCTGTAAGAAATGACAAACACAAGAAGCATAAGATTTACAGGATGCAGAATGACCTTCGCAGAGCCACGAAAATAACACATACAATAATTACGATGCAAATGTGAGAAGCACGTCCTCAGGAAATTCCCAAATCTTACATGAAACAAAAGTTAAAATGTTGGCTGAAGTCTATAGGATAAGAAGTCATTTTAATAAAAGTCTTGAAATTCGAAATCTAGAAGTCTTTAGGGAATTACTCTTTTGCTTGTAAAAACTCCAGTGGATCATCCAATTTGCCTTGAGGTAACACTTTTTTAACATAAAATGAATTGAGCAATATAGTAAAAGATCTTTAAGTTCACATACAGAAAATTTTCAGTTTCCTTTCTCAGTCACGACCTCCTATTATTATTTTTTAATTTGATGTTTCCCTTTTTCTCTCCCTTAACTGACTGCACTTAGAACTGCTTCACTGTAATTTGTCATTTAACCGCCAATTCAAATGTAACATTTCTTGTTTTTCTTTTATAGACCATGTGTGCCTATTTTATGCCTCCCACCTACCTAGTTGAGTATAACTACCTCTAAGTCTGCTGAAGAAACATTCTTTTCAGAATCTGATAACATCCTGGTCCCAACAAATTTAATGACTTCCATCCTATAAATAAATTGCATACAATAGCCACCGCCAATCTTCCTTGATGTTGCTGGCAGTGGTTTATCCTCATAGAACCCACCTGCAACTCTTTAAAGTACTGATGATGTGATGGTGTACATTTTAGTTATCTGTGTTTGTGTCTCATTCCCCTATTACAAAAGGGCAGGGACTACATGTCTACACTTGTCTACCCCAGTACCAAATTTGAGTGCTTGGCACACCCTCAGAGCTTAACTACTAAAGATTTATTGAGTAGATGAATGGTTGCATTTGGGCAGACTTTACAGGATGGATAGGAATTCAAGAGTGAAAGGAAAGGAATATTAAGCATAGGGAAGATGATAAGACAAGGTGTAGCACTGGGAAAATACAAAGCAGTTCACAAACAAATATGAACAGTGGCGTTTGATTGGGTAGGTAAATGGATGGAGCAGAGTAATATGGCCTAAAGGTGGGATGGTGTCAGACTGGGAAGGGCCTTAAATGCCAGGCAAATGAGTTGACCTCTTTTTGCTAGACAATACGGAACCATCTAACATTTTTGAGCAGAGGAGTAGCATGGCTAAGGAACATAATCCTGACACAGGTAAAAAGATGGACTAGAGGAAGGAAACAGAAGAGGCAAGACTACCTGCAAACAGGTGATTACAAACAGGTCATAATGACGAAGGCCTGCCTGTACATAATCTGGCTCCAATCTACCTTCTAAGCCTCAGTGGCTATAACTTCCCCTCACACACGCTGTGATTTAGACAAATTGGCCCGCTCTCTGCTCCTCACTCACAATGCTCTGGGCCTGAATTGCACTCGCTCTTTACCTCCCTCCATTCCACGGTCCCTCTCTTCCTTAAGCTATGACTAAGGCAGGCACCATCTTCTGCATAAAGCCTTTCTTCCTGATATCCCCAACTTCCAGTGCCCTTCCTCCTAGATTACTTTCTATTAAATTACTTTGTCTATACAAATACACACACACATATTGACTTTACATTTATGCTGTACATATTTTCATATTTTATATGAACTTGTCTGTCTCATTAGACTGTAAACTCATTGTGACTAGGGACCGTTTCATTCTTTGTGCTAGTGTTCATAGCACACAGTAAGTGCTTAACATTTATTGAGTATTGATGTCTAAAACCAAGGAAGGAAAGATTTTCCAATTGTAAGGGATGGTCAATAGTGTCAAATGCAACAGAGAGTTCAAGGAGAATAAGGAACGAAAAAAAGACCACTGTATTTGGCAATGTGGTGATCTCTGGGAGAACAGTTTCAAAAGCATGGGGGCAGAAGTTAAGACTGTAAGGGCAAAAGGAGAAGAGTAGATTGTGAGAAAATACAGCAACATTTAATAAGTTTTATTAAAAGGCCATCTAGTCCAAACCCCTCATTTCAAAGATGGGAAGACTGATACTCAGGGAGGTGGGTAATCCTTTCAATTCAAAGTCACACAAGTGACTGCTTTCCAGCATGTCCACACACAGGTGGCTCCTGGGTATTTAGATGTGTCATTAAAGTACCAGCAATCAGTTTCACCTAGCAAGTTAACCCTGTAGCTACAAGTAGTTAACCTGATAGTTTAGTACTCACTGCAACCCAACGGTCAGTCAAGAAACTTTATTCATCATCTACATGCGCCAGGCACAGTGCTAAGCGCTGCGGACACAAAGGCAGGTAAAGACCATGGGGAAATAGAGCTGATGGGGTGAGCTGAGAAGTCCAGCAGGTTTGGTCAGCCGGAGGGGCAGCTGGAGGGGGAGGAGAGAGGAGGGCACCAAATACTTCCGAAGCAGGCCTCGGGCTGGGCCTTATTCGCCCTTTTTTGGGAGACTCGGCGCTGGGACCGGGAGTCCGGATGCTCACCTGTAGCTCCCCGGGAGACAGAAGGCGAACAGAGCCTTGGGATCGCGCACGGGGCACTGCTTGTCGCAGCAGCAGTTTAGATCGCAGGAGTCTGGCGTCAAGTCGCACGTACAGATCTTGGCAAGGACGGTCGAAGACCAGAGGAGGCGCCCGCTTAGAATCTCTTCCCAGGGGGCCTGCTCTTCGCCAGGGAAGGGCTCCGGGGTCACGGTTATGAGCGGCTGCACCGGGGACCCCTCCTCGAGGAGAACCTCCGGAGGCGTGGCCGGGGGAGAGGAGGGGGTCTCCGGCTCCCGGGACGGCGAGGCGCCGGGAGTCCCTCCCGGGGGCTCTATTCCCGCCGAGGTGAGAGCTCCCCCGGGAGGCGAGGGCTGAGTCTGGGCCCTGGCGCTCCCCGCCAGGAGGAACCAGGGTAGCACCAGCAGCTTGAGGGGAGCCAGGGCCATGAAGCCGCGCAGCTCTCAGCAGCCCTGGGAACCTAAGGCACCTCAGTCACCAGGTGCGTTGCCATGGCATCGGCGGGGGGCGGGACTTGAGGGCGGAAGATGCAGTACGCGTGACCTCACCCCGTAGACACCCTCTGATTTGCGATTTGGAATTAATGACACAGCTCTCACCAATAGAAATCGCGGTGGTGCCGCGCAGCGATCCTGCTTCGACAACAGTGGGGGCTCCTGGGTTCCCCGAGAGCCCGTGTGCAGCTACGCAGCCTTTCCGCTAGATGGGCCTGTGCGGCCAGTCAGTGAGATTCCGACATCAGCCGGAATGCCTAGGATTACCTGCCATTAGGGGGCTGCAGTGCCCCCTGACGTTTTGGAGGAGGAGAAGAGGCTTCCAGGAGAAAGGGACCCGCCTAAGCCAGAATTGGCCTTCAGAGCCTTAAACTTGTCAGGGCTGGAGAAAGGGTGGAGGATGGATGGATGGATGGATGGATGGATGGATGGATGGATGGATGGATGGATGGATGATAATTAAACAAATTAATGGTCACAAACATCTGTAAGAAAAACAAATGGAAAATCCCACTTTTTTAAGAATGAGAAATCAGTCAATAAGCTTTTATTAAGCACCTACTGAGTACCAGTGTGCTAGTACTAGTATCAGTACTAGTGTGCTGTAGCACTGAGGATACAAATGCAAAGAATGCAGCAATCTCTCCCTGCAGCTAGCTTGCATTCCACAGGCTGATGGGATCAATTTGTTCCAACAACCATGAAGATGGGTGCTATAGACATTGAAGATGCCAAGGTCATCCACTGCATCCCAGGCCATCACTGGTCATGCCACTAAACTTTGATGACTATGGAAGAGAGAGTGAGATTGAAGACATTGTGAAGCTTGGCCTCACTTAAATCCAATTCACTCAAAAGTCAAGACATCACTCCATGGGAAAAAAGGACCACCACCAGCAACAACATTCCCCAGGAAAAACTTTATGAAAAATCCAGCCCTCCAACTGCTAAAATTAAAACATAAGACTGCCCAATAAATAGAGGGTGTCAGTTAAAACTATCAGTTCCATATCTGGCTAATTAAGAGAAAAGAGACTAAGAAAAGGTGGAAAAGAGAGAGGTTTTGGAAGGGGGGCAGGTCCTACTGGGTGAGAAGAGTTGTTAAAAGCAGAGAAGGAATTGAGAGGTAGCTAGGAAAATAAAGAGGGGGACAGAGAGGAAAAAAGACCACCATCTCTTCACTACACAGGTTCTCCTCTCTGCAACCTTCTGCACCATTCCCCTGAGCTGACTACAATATTTGCCCCTTTATGTCCCAGCTAAATCTACCCCAATCCCAACCTGCTGAGCCTTTATTCAAACTTCTGCCTTCCCTCCAACAATTAGAACTCTCCAAAAATGGAATGGAGATTAGGGAGCAATAAACTTGTCACCAATAGGTCTTCAGATTTAGACTGGATGATCAACGGAAGGTGTTGTGCAAGAGATCCATGATGTGAGTACCATTTAGAAGAGATGGTTTCTGAGATTCCTTCCCACCCTGATTCCAGCAGCTCTTGCAGGCTAGTTAGGATCTACTAAAACCTAACTTACAGAATCTTCCCAGAGTAAGTCACCTAGGCAATTGGGAACTTTCAGATATGGGCACAATTATATTTGTAGACCATAAATGTTCTAAATAAATGTCAGTTATTATTATTAATCCTAATGATAGAGGCCAAGAGTAATTAACAGACACCTAGAAAACTGACCATTGAGCAAATGAATTAGGTTGGGAGAGTTACTCACTTCTCTCTTGCATGATCAGGTCTAATCTTTTAGCAGCGCAACATTGCTACTATTAGATGAGACTAATTGTCTACACTGGAAAAACACCTTCTCATCACTCTACTCTCTTCTCTGCCCTTTGCAATCTATCTTCCATCCCCACCATACTACTAAAACTGTTCTTTCAAAGGTCACTAATGACTTCCTAATCACCAAACCCAATGTCCTTTTTATCAGAATTCAACCACTTTCTCATGCAGCATTTGATATTGTTAACCAGTTCTTCCTGCTGCTCTCCTTCCTTGACTTCAGAAACACCACATTCTCTTCATTTTCCTACCTCTAACTGCCTCCAGTAGTACCAGAGGACAAGGTCTCAGTTTGCTACCTCCAGCTTCAGGACTATGGACTTGTCTCTCTCCTTTCCAGAAGGCTGTATTCTAGTGTTCAAATTGAACTCTTTCTCTTCCTTGCATGGCACTAAATCTAAGAACTAAACATTTTTGAGCAGGATTTCAACAATAGAACATGTAAAGCATATTTTCTCCCAGGATTTTCCTCCCTCTTCAGATAATTACCGGGTAGACCACAATTTTGCAATCAGACATATGGTTTCTATACTTCAAAATTTCCAAGATGCATTAGAGCACATCTGTAAGAGAAGTGTTATATCACTATTATCACTGCTCCATTCAACAGCCAGAATGTTTTCCTCATAGTGGTCACGTGGAAACAATGGAGGAAAGATAATTTTGCCTTTCCAGGTCTTACCTGGTCTTAATCTATCTTACCACATTCCTTCTCAGTGGAACCTTAGCTCATGATCATCACCACCATATTCTCCCTACCAAACAAAAGGAAATAATCACAGACATACTATCTAAATAGTCAACTCCATTTGATAAATATTGCTGATCAAGAGGACCAGAAACATATATTATTAAAACAATACAAAACATCTAATACTAAGTTAATGATCACTTGGTAAGTGCCAAATTAAAAAAAAAAAAACTGGATCCAAAGCATCCTGGTGTTTCAGTGAAAGAAATAAAAGCTCTATAATCTTTCTTGAGTTCTCTAGTGAAAATAGCTATGTTAGCAATGCATAGAAGACATCTCCAGGTAAAACAATGCAAACAGAACTAGTTTGATGATAATTACCAAAACAGGGTTGAAAAGCAGGTAGCACTCTACACAGAGCCTGGCACATAGTAAGTGCTAAATAAATGCTTGTTGTCCTGACTTGAAAAACAAGCATTCAGTGTCAACACATGAGATGTATCAGGGCATATTGACTAAGAAGCATTTCAAACATGTGGTAGAAATAAAAGTGGAAATGACATTGGACTGCACAGATCATCATAAAAACAAAGAGTTACATGTAGCATTGAAGAGCACATATGGAGTTGTTGAGGTCTGAGAGGTTTCAACCCCTCAAGGACCAGAATACAGGACAGGGTTGTCTGGAATGAATTCATAGACTCAAGCTTTCTTGAAGTCAAGATGGCAAAGATTTATTGTTATGCTATACAGCGGGCAAGGATTCTCAAGGAACCTGCCATGGTGGGCAGAGCTCTTTAGGTAACTTGCAGCCTAACAGAAATGATACTAAAGCTTACATAGGAAAAGTAGTGAATTATGTGGGCAAGTATGCTAATTAGGTGATAACATACAACTAGGTCATTCACTACTGAAAATGGAGGGTGTGTGTGAAGAGGGTTCCTAAAGGGTATATTTTTGGTCTGTTAAGTCTGTAACAAGATAGTTTCAGGAGTTGATGTCTATAGCTTGACCTCTGGATTGTATATGATAACTGTGGGAATCAGTACAGGATAGTTCTGTTGGTATAAGATAGTCCTGTTCATACAAGGGAAATTCTACAGAGGTCAGCTTGTTCTTGTAACAGAGAGATAGTTTGCCTCACTGGGCCCACTCATGAGTTATTGCCAGAGATAGAATTTTTAGACTGGAGGGAAACAGTCAGAGATAGTGTTTCTGAGGCCAGGGAGAAATATGATCTTGGAAGTGGGGTCTGAGTACAAGCACCCAAGCACCCCATCAGAGTTGTCCACATGTTATGGCACTACACTCATTACTAATGCTGAGGCAAAGCTGTAACTAACAATTTTGACACTCAGGGCAAGTTGCATGAAACACACCCTTCAATTAACCCTTTGTAAAGAGGGTTGTTTGGACATGTCCACACTGGAGCCAGGGTAGTATTATGCCTTTTTAAAAATTTCAATTAAGGGGGTATGGTGGAATAGGGCAACACAATGAGTTGTCGCATGATTGCTGCTTGGGGAAGTTATGTTGGAGAGCAGGGAAGTTTTAGATTGAGGAAGATAGCAGTAAAGAGGAAAAGAGGTAGTTTCTCAACTTATCCAATTGTTCTTGCTATTAGGTGCTAAACAATTTGTTTCTATGCTGCCAAAGAAGTCCAAATGTGATTGCACACCCTAAAAATTTCAGTGCCCTGGAATAAATCCATGGTCACCCTGCTTTGGTTTCGTACTGAGGAAATCTGTGTCTTAAATAATAGGGTAGTTGTACGTGTAAGAGTTAATTGTGGGTTTCTAAATTGCTAGAGAAGACAGAGACCTTATAGAAATCCAGTTCAGCCCCTTCATTTTTATTTTTACTTTGAAAAATTAAGTATTTTTTTTCCTTCTCACCTTCCCCCTCCCCCTAAGAAAAAGAAAAATAATCTTATAAAAATATGTATAGTCAAGCAAAACACATTTTCGTATTATTCATGTTCAAAAATGTGTGTTTCATGCAACTTGCCCTGAGTGTCAAAATTGTTAGTTACAGCTTTGCCTCAGCATTAGTAATGAGTGTAGTGCCATAACATGTGGACAACTCTGATGGGGTGCTTGGGTGCTTGTACTCAGACCCCACTTCCAAGATCATATTTCTCCCTGGCCTCAGAAACACTATCTCTGACTGTTTCCCTCCAGTCTAAAATATTTAGTCTGTCACCTCTCTGGTCTAATATTCTTCATTAGTGATTCTTTGGAATCATGGCTGGTCATTGAAATCGGTCAAAGTTCTTTCAAAATTCTGTTGCTCTCCTGGTTCTACTTACTTCACTCTGCATCAATTCATCCAAGTCTTCTGAGATTTCTCTGAAGTCTCTTTCATCATTTCTCATAATACGGTATTCTATTACATTAATACGAAATAATTTGTTCAGCCATTCCCCAGCTGACAAATGTCCTTTGAGTTTTGAGTTCTTCGCCACTATAAAAGGAACTGCTATGAATATTTTTGTACTTACGAGATCTTTTCCACCCTTTTTGATCTCTTTGTCAAACCT